GACAAGGTCAATGGCAAGGTTATAAGAATGCCCAGGAAATAGGGAGGATATGGTTCTGTTTCCTGTTCTTCAAGAAGATTTATTGTACTCGTAGTAGTAGGCTAGACCAATGGCATCGACCTTGTCCTAGACCCTTACAAATAGCGCCTACTTTTGCTATTATAGCATTGAAGTAGCTGGGTAAAATAGGCTCATAACTGTTGCAAAAGTGGAACCACAATTATGGGAGCGTAATCATAGCTTTTCTTACTACAGCCCCGTTCTATGTCAATTTTATAGTCGGTGAAGCAAAAAATGCAAGATCCAACTGCGTTGTCAGGGAAAATATCGAAGTCAGGCTTCGCAACGGATACTCTCAAGCCTAGCAGTTCAGGGTACAGGATTCGCCAGGTACCCAGAAACGCAAAGTCGGCATTCTGCTCGAGCCGAGAATGTGTCGACACACGGGTAGCTCTAAGCTGTCGACACTTTTGACGAAGTCAACTTGGGAGCAAGGTGGACCCCTAATGTGGTGATGACGGTAGATGAAGAGCTCGTCGTCGATTATTCTTGCGGATGTTTGATGCTTGAAAACCCACCGTGTGGCAGCTTGCGAACTCGCCGGGCACAACGGCAGCAAGTTGTACCCTGTACTGCGCCAACAATCTAGTGGGAAATGCGTTGTTGGTGTCTTTTCATCGTCCAGAGTGATGAATCTGTCAAATTCAAATGCATTCTCCAAGTACTGTAAGGGCAACCCGAACATTGGCCCAAAGAAATGCCGGTTCATTATCAGGCGCCCTTCAGAAAAGCTGATCTCAGGAGTGCTGCGCCTCACTGCCAAAGTCCCTGGCCTCCAAGCCACAAGGCTTATGTCTTCTATCCAAAGCTGGAATGTTCCTGGTCTGCGGCGGCCACCGAGCCGACGCTTTGGTATGGGCGGATTGTTGAACTCCCGAACGATCCGGAACACAGGGTCACAGCCAGGATGAAGCTGTATTGCCGTGCGACTATCATGAGAACTCCCCAGGGGCCGAAGTCGTGTGCATCCGAAGCATAAGAACCAGTCCGGCGCGTCTCTTTCTAGTAGGACAAGAGTGGCGAGGCAACCATCTTGCTTTTGTTTCAAATACCGACGGGTCGGACACAAAGCCGAGAAGAACCATCTTGAGACCAGGGCAAGGGCTATCCGTGATGATATGGGCAGCGCGTCGGCAATCATAAAGAGGACCTCGACTGGCACAGAAGGCAGTCTGAATGGATTCTTTTGCGTCTGAGTCGTTTCTGTACAGCGCTTCGCCATGTGTATTTATTCAAATGAAAAGGAAAATGGAAAAGAAATCGGGAGAGAAAATTTGAGGGGTTAATGGGTATCAGCGAATTCGCATGCAAATCTTTCAAGAAGGCGAAGCTTAAATAGCCTTTTTGTCATAAAATCAAGGTGAATCGTTTAGGTACATAGTTTTGTGGACCTCGTCTATTGACGAACGGTGGAAATGGAACCTTGATACGTATCTTCTGGCGCCTACTGGCAGGCCACAGGAGTGGCAGCCGGCTCAACGCCTGTCCATGTTCAACGGAATGGTTGGAAGATGCGATATGTGCTTTCCAGTCAAGTAATGGTGACATTATGACTCAAGACATATTGACATCTGAAATCAACTGACCGTTTCACCTCGCAAATCGCGGCCCACATATTCTCGCCAATTTGCAACCTCAACCTCAGATCATGCGCTGTGACCTTCAACTCAGCATCATCCATGTTTTTTCAATGTTTTAAATACTCTCTGCTGTTGGGATTTAGTCTCAAGAGCAGAGTAGCTAGAGCGCCACGTCGGGTTCAGCTGGGCTCTACTATGTGCTAGCTCAAACCACGCCTGAATCTGAGTTGGGATAAACCAGCTAGAACGAGAATGGCTCATACCATGGTTGACTCATCTGCAGAAGAGTATCAGACTGTCGACGAAAAGGTACATGATACCAAATATGTAGTAGTGGGCAACCCTCAGCAGATCGATGTAGGGAAGCGCACAGATTTTGACAACTTGACCTCTGTGAATACCCACTCGTGACACGGATTGCAGCACACTCCGAGGGAAACCCTTTCGTACGAGTGGCTTCGATATTTGCGCCATGACGCAGAACATCGATAATAATACTCGTTCAGAACTGGTGCAGAGCAGCAGCATCAGTGTCAACGAAACCAAAATTATGGGCCTCAATGGCAGTTCCGGAACACGCGAAAGTCTGGGGTGCATGTACGAGAGAATTTGGAGCTTCGAAGCTCTGCTTTGATGGGCGCGACACTTCATCCCAGTTGCCGCTCTCCTTGGCGTTACCATTGCCCTTCTAGCCATCATCTACGCAGATAGTTGAGCAGCGGGGGTTCGGCTTCTGGGGCTCTCCGTCTGGCTCGAAGTCGTCTGGGGAAATCTGTGGATTTCCAAACTCATCGCAATTCTGATGGCAACTGCGCACGTCTTTCTCTGCGGCATTGTCAGCACCTGGAAATATCACACCGTCCTCCGAGGTATGGAGACTTCCATCTCGCTGGTGTTCTGGACAATCGATGCCTATGCCACCGTCGTACCTGTATGCATAGCATTTGACTCCGATAAACCTACTCCCAACTGGGTATCGATCTTACAGAAGGTCATGTTGGCTTCCATCGCTGTCGCCGCCATGGTCCTCGTCCAAAGCTTCGTCATTCAGCTCATCAACATCACATACTCCGCAAAACAATTCACCACGCGAGAGTCCAAGCGCCAAATCGCCATGCTATACACTCTCTAAGGTACGCATCTTCAACGCGCATATATCCGCTTTTTGCGATCGTTTCGCCCAAGAGCACTACACCATCATCACCGGCGAAGTCAAACAGAAGGACAGCTCACCAAGCAAGCTTCTCGCCAATATGCGACTGGCAGGGCGAGAGGTTGCACAGGCCTTTGGCCAGATGACAGCAGATATCTCCGGCAACAAGTCGCTGTTCAACACCCAAGCCGCTCACACCATAGTCACAGAAGCGCTTGAAGCCGATACATCGTCTGATTCTCTTGATCGACGTATCTGGAGGTCGTTCGTCCCTTTGACTGGAGATGCTATGACAAAAAAAGACCTCGAAAAGGCATTTACTGCTGATCGTATTCGTGACGTTCAAGAGCTGTTTGCTCTACTCGACCTGGACCAGAACGGCGATGTCAGCTCGGAGGAGATGATCTCGACAGTCATACGCATCGACCAAGAGCGCATCGTAATCTGGAAGAGTACCCACGACATACAGTCTGCCGTGCGAGTCCTAGACCATTTCTTCCAGGTTTTCATCCTCATAGGTACCGGTTTCACATACGCCGCCTTTTCAGCAACTCATTCTCGATACATCTTACCACCATCGGCACCTAGCTTGCCGCCGTTTCTTTCGCTATTTCAGGGACTGTACAGGAGTTTCTAGGCTCGTGCATTTTCATCATTTTTGTGAAGCACCCATTCGACGTGGGCGACCGTGTGATAATCGACGGCCACGAGCTGGCCGTGGAGAAGATTTCGCTGCTGTGTTTCGTTTTCCAGAAGGTTCCAGAAGGTAGGCTCAAACAAACAGACACAGGTTCCCAACATCAATCTCAACAGCATGTGAGTGGACAATGTGTCCCGAAGCAGGGGTCTACGAAAGCGCATTAGAGTGCAAATTGCAGACGACACCAGCTTAGATGACACTGAGAATTTGGGAAGACGGATACGGGACGAGATCGGTGCTCCTGAGAATCGTCGGGACTTTCGTGGGGATGTAGATGTTGAACTTGTCTCCATTGGTGGTACGAGCAAGCTTGAGGTCTATGTCGAGGCTGAGCACAAGGTTAGTTCTACTCCCTTTGCTCATACATCTGTTTGCTGACTCAGAAACAAGTCGAATTGGAATAATGAGCAGACGCGTCGCATACGTCGCAATAAGCTCATGACTTCTGTGGTGGGGTTCCTTCGTGCGTGTTGTTTCCATTCATGGACCAGGCGAAGGTAGCGCTACTCTGGGCGATCCGGCCGGACCAACTTATCGGGTCGTTGTGAGTGAAGAGGTAGCCGCGGCCGCAGCTAGAGATTTCCAACATAAGAAGGGCGCGCTCAACCGTGTTTCTCCGGTATCATCTTCCAAAAATGATGATCAGGAGTCGTTCACAGGCATGAAACGGCGCAGGTAAAGGTTACTACTGAACTGAGTGAAGCTACCTAGTGAGCACGGTACTGCAATTGCTTCGTGTTCTATGGGAGTCTCACCGCATTTGTAGCAAGGCCAAATGTTCTGCGTCGGAATATGCAATTAATCGGGAGCCGAGTCTGACGGAAAGAAGACAGAGGAAAGCGAAGTGTGCTTGATTGGCCGCCTCGAGGGTTGGCCCCTTGGCAAAGTATCTTTCTTCGATAGGAAGATATAGAATGTTGGATATCAATTTGTCATTATTACAAGTAGAAAAATCGAAAGTGGAGAGCGCCAGTGATGCGTAGGCGGTAGAAATATAGCAAAGCTATGATGTGGAAGGCGCCTTCTCATTCAGCCACCTACATTTATAACTCTTCCCTTTGTTGCATTCCCTTTAGGTGACGTTCTAGTTTCTATTCTGTAGCTGTTATCGCAGCTTTCGTACCATCTTCTCCGTCTAACGCCAGCTGTCGGCGATGACTATATTATATATCCTTCTCCATCTGTCACCATCTGCTTTAGTTCCCCGTCAAACATATTGGTCATCCGTTCAACTCCCTCTCCATCGAACTACATTCTATTTCGACCCAAGATCATCACCAACAAAGCTCTCGCTAGCTGACTTTAAGATCTAATTCTATACAATCTAAACTAATTGCAAGTTATCAGAGCCTCTTATGATTTACCTCCCAAAATGAACTCAGGCCGTTATACGAGTGAAAGTTGTCCGTGACGGAACGTCACCCGCATATTCACCGTCTACAATAGGACCGGATCTAAAATTATCCCTTCTCTAGATCGAAGTCTCTTTCGATAAACTTTCTCATGAGAACATCTTGAAGACCTTTTCCTGATTTGAAGACTAAAATGTTGTCCTCCTCATTTCCAGGGCGTTTTTCACTTTGGATTTCTTACTAATACCACCATGCAGAAATTCTATTGATGGAAGTTTGGGAGGAGCAACGAACTCATATGAAACGATGGATTGATGGTCTTGGTTTGTCTGCAACTCAGAGCCAAGGTTTCAGGGTATTTCGGGAATAAAAGCCCCTCAGAAACTTTGAAATTGATCGGCTGTGGATTTACCGGCTGTCGAGGACGTTTAGATCTTGAATTCAAGCTTCGTCCGCATGGATCGAGGAAGCATGAAAGCATCTAGTAAAGAGAGTCTGAGCCATGATTATCATTCCGGCTTCACTCAAACATATGTATTTGAATTACCATATCGATCTTCTCGGTATCAAAGTATAGTACACATTAGCGCTGTGCAGGTAAGAATCTTATGTGAGAATCTTATGGTTCAACCCCCTTGTTCCTGGCCGACTACGCGATGCCTGTTAGTTTCTTCAATTGACTTTGACGATGCGTTCCTGTGGCACTCGGATATGCTTCTTCCTCAGAACCCCGCCCCGAACCCAAGGGTGTCCAGTATTTCAGAAAGCTGTCGTTCAACCTTAACCCATTAGGGCGTTGGACGACTACTTCTGAACAACCCGACACTGCTCTGGCAACCTTTATGTGCATCGAATTGTATACACAAAGACTGAAACCAAATACATGATGATGTTCACATACTCAATTGTGCTCGGCTCAGCGATGAGTTTGCTGTCTGGCACGACTGCGAATTCTGTATCGCCGCCAGACGGTCGAGGCCAGCTCAGCCATCGAGTCGACGGTCCCCTCCTCGATCCAAAACGTACGACAGATGCAGTGCGCGCACCAAAAACGAACGTTTGGCGTGACCTTAGCGAAGAAGAAGTCCACAACGTGACTCAGTGGCTTCTCGGTCAGCGAGACCTCAATCTGACCGACCCTCAGTCAGCAGGACCGTGGTCTAATACAATGTAAGACACTAAGGGAAAACCACTTGAACATGGATTTGACGAAAGTAATGACAGTCTCTTTGCTGAGCTCAACATTCCCAACAAAACGGCTGTTCTTCCGTACTTGGACAGCAATTCCAAAGAAAGTCCTCCTCAGAGATACGCACGTGTTGTCACCACTCGCCGAGCAACTGCAGAAGCCTACTGGCAAGAGCTTGTCGTTGGTCCCTTGCCTATAAGTGCCCAAACGACTGTACAGCCTCTCCAATACCTCTTAACCCGCAAAACAGATGGCATGATTCGTTGGCTTGACCCGGATGCTCACGGTGCCTTGGAAAAGGAGTTCCTGTACAAGGTGTCTGCTTCTGTTGCAGATATTACTCAGGATCTTTGCGGAGGCGTCGCGCTTGGTCAGGATAATGACTCGCTGGCCCTTGTTGGACTCACGACTCCTTACCAGGAAGATACCGACGGAGTTATAGTTCGATGGGACGAGTTCAAAAGAAAGCCATCGGATCAATTTGATGCCCAGACGCTCCTCCCTCTGGGCCTATTCCTCAAGACCGACGTGACTGGGCGTGATTCGAGCAAGTGGCGCGTCATGGGATGGTACTACAACGACATTTTCTATGCTGACACCAACGCATTTCGAGCTGCATACCAAAGCCCAAATTTTCAACGGTTGGAGCCAAATGTGGAAGGTGACTGGGCTCGAACGGATCGTCAAGGGCCACCATTACGGCACGACCTATTGCAACCGCCCAATATGCTGCATCCTAATGGGCAGACACGTTTCTCGGTGGACAATGAACAGCAGTATGTGGAGTGGATGGACTTCAGCTTTTACATCGGATTCTCGCATGATACTGGTATGTCGCTGTACGACATTCGGTACCGAGGTGAACGGGTGCTGTATGAGCTGGGCTTGCAGGAGATCCTAGTACACTACGCAGGTGAGTCAAACCAGAGTGAAATCATTCTGACATCAATTGTTCCCTTTCCCTTTCACCGCCTGATCATATTTTCAGGATCCGGCCCATACGAATCAGGCCATGTTTCTCATGACTCGCATGTTGGCATTGGTCGATATGCCCTTCGTCTGGTACCTGGCTATGACTGTCCTTCATACGCAACATTCATGGACACGCGAAGCCATTCCGGAGGTGGAACCAACGGCCGACGCAATTCCATCTGTATCTTTGAGTACATGGCGGACTCGCCAATCCAGCGACATACGGCCTTCACTTACTTGTCTATCACGAACAACGTTTATCTAACTGTTAGAACGGTCAGCACCATAGCCGATTATGACTATGTTATCAGTTACAAATTCTACATGGACGGATCCATTGGGGTGGAAACGGAGGCTTCAGGATATATCATCGCAGCCCATCGAGCTCACAACCAGGACTACGGATATAACATTCACGATCATCTGTCAGGTTCCATGCACGAACATGTCATCAACTTTAAAGCAGACTTTGATATCTTAGGGACTCGAAATACGGTTCGAATTGTGCGGAACGTCCCGGTCAAGCAAGTATATCCCTGGTCCAACGGGAAAATGCGGAGCACGATGCAGCTCCAGCGGTCATTCATCATCAATGAGGATGAAAGCCGCTTGAATTGGGATGACAGCACGGCTCAGAAGCAATTGGTGATTGTTAACCAAGACGCTGTTAACGAGTATGGTGAAACGCGTGGCTACCAGCTCGTCCCGGGGCAGCCAGCAGCGGCACTTCACTCCCGGCTTACGGCCGTGAACAGTACGTCACTTGGCCGAACAGCTGGCTGGAGCTCGCATGATGTGCATATCACAGCCCAGCATGACACGGAGCCAAGATCAGCGTACCCTTTCAACGCCCATGACCTCTTCAATCCCCCAATCGACTTCGACCGGTTCTTCGATGGTGAGGACCTCAATCAGACAGACCTCGTCGTATGGTTCAACTTGGGCATGTATCATCTACCGCACTCTGGCGATCTTCCCAACACTCTTACCACCACAGCCCATGCGGGTGTGAAGATTGTACCAGTCAACTTTTTCTCATTGGATCAGACCCGCCGCACGGTGAACCAGGTCCGGATGGATTTTGGAAAAGGGAGAGTGTCCCATGTGGAGACGTTCGGACGGTCGATGAACCTTACTGAATCAATGGGAGGGAATGGGTGCTGTTGGATGAACGACCAGGTTTCGTTGGCCGAACTGTACAACTATGACGGCCCGGTAGATAATTAGGTAGATCAGAGCGGATATTGTCGTGATGGGTGGTCCGACTATGAGGCTAGATGCAGGGTGCGAGACTTGGCTCAGGTTTCTTGACCGACGCTTTTGACAATCAACTACAACTACTTCAAGTCAAGCCCTTTCTCTCTTCCATTGATTTGCGTCTCATACAATTTTGCGGCACCAGTTTCGATTTGAAGAGGCTGACAATGTCGCTCTGTGATAAGAGAAAAAGGTTTAGCGGCCGCTGTCCCACTCTAGGTACAGAGACATATTCGGGCAAAAGGGGTGTGCTTCTTTAGCGAAGCTGAGAAGTTAGTTTAATTGCCGTGCGGCTCCGCTGGGCGACGCGCGTCTCTGCCTAGAAACAGCCACGGAAATCAGATGAGCGCGCGAGTTGCGAAACTGATGGGAACCAGTGGGGCTTCCATGTTCAAAGTTATCTCGTTTCAAAGTATACATCCCATAAATCCTCCAATCGCGCCGACTCGCGGATCACGGCACATATTTCGTTTGATGCCATGGGTAGTGAATTAGCCGTTATCAGGTGCACAATGCTTGTGATCGGGTAATTTGATTGAGGCGGTATTTACTCGCTAGCTCATAATGGACCAGTCACTTGACACAGATTTACTTCATAGCTGCCACGCGTCCTTAATGGATGCCCTTTTAACATCAGTCTAAAACTTCTTGGACAGCTTCACAGGCGGGTCCTTCAGCCGTGACGTAGTCCTTGGTTCGCACTTGTTCTGCGTTCTGCGCAACCATGAGTCTAACATTCCATCATAATTGACCCCATTGGACGTCACGTCTGCTTTTAGCTTCCTGAATGAAGGTAAGCTGTAGACGCAGTTTGGCGAGGCGTGTCACCAGCAGCTGGCTTCTTGCCCCGCACTCAGCAGAGACCAGAGCTGGACCTTGCCATGCTTGTTCCTGGACCCTAGATACCCATTAACGACATTCGGATCAAAAGCTTCCTGCACACCCCCATAACCTCAATTAGGTGACTTTGCACTACCGTCTGAACTGTTCAGCCTTGGCTTAGATCACAACTTTGACGGCAATGAAGTGTCAACTTAAAAGCTGTTATTGCGACCGAAACTACCGCGATTTATGAATTCAATTGCTGCAATAGCCGCAAGCCCAGTCTGACCAGCGCGTAAGCGTTGAAGGCTATTGTCTCATCGACACCATTGCAAGGGTACTGTTTCGAGAAAAACGGATTAGACTCAATGGAATAAGCAGGAGTTTCATTCTGCGTCAGCACGTGGCACTTGGAGCTGCCATGCCTTCGACCGGACTACCTTGACTAATTGCTAGACCCCTAAATTTGCCAGAGCTTTCTCAGCGCTCTCGCCCCATGACTCATGTTCTTACGTAGCCTGCCAAGCCTATGGTTCTTGGATTCTCATGCCATCCACTTGCAGATCAGGGTCCGTCCAATCTCCGTCGTACGTCATCTGCGCAATGGCCCTCTTGACCGCCCATTCCCGAATCTTGTCAAAGTTTCGACAGCTGTGTGGCAAATTAGCCCGGTGTCGACTCTTTTGCAAGTTGTCATCCCATTGAAGAACCAATGGGGTGATGTCTGAATGACACATGATCGACTGCCGAATGGAGTCGATGCAATGGGCTAAATGGTCCTTCTCGAGGATGGCGGCATAGTAAGAATCGGAATAGTACTCCGGCCATACTGACATGCGGAGAGCATTCTACGTAGAAAAGGGGTCGGAGGTTAGCCTTGTGAGCTTGCACCCTAGTGTGAGACGTTGGTAGACTTACAAGGCAGTGCAGCTGATGGAATACGTCCAACTTTATCCAGTAAAGACCTGGATGTCTGGGACCAAGAGTGGAGGTTGTGTTAGAAAGACGCTGCGCTTCATCCCGCGTAATGGCTTCTCCTACGCTGACTTTCGAGAGAATGAGCCAAATTCCTTTGAGAGTCGAAGAACACAATCCACTCACAGTGCCATAGCTCAGCCCAACGCTGGTCCATCTCTTTTGACGGGGCTCCCCAATATTCAGTGACACCGTCACCAAACCCTTGGGTAAAGGTCTGCAATTGATATTCAATTACGTCTTGTGCTGGACCTGAAATGACGTTAGGCAAAGGGAAAAGCCCCATTCATATCATCTCTCCCATCAAACAACAGCAAATGTAACTTACTATAGAGAAGCTGGCCACATAAATGCTTGGCTCGGGTGATCCGGTACTGGGCATAGGTGTAACTGACACCGACAGTCCCCAAGAACCACCAGCACACGATCAATACAATACTGAGCTGCTTACATGCCGTCCTACGGAAGTTGGGTCGACGTGGACAAGACTCGGTACCATTTTCGGAATCGCAAGGAACGAGCCACTCGGTCGAAGAACCTTTCAAAGTAGCCATTGGAATTCGGGTGTTCAAGAATCAAGATTCATAAGAAAGGTCCTACGTCGTGTAATCTACTATCTTCTGCACCATGTGGGCTTGAGAATAACGATTCTATAAGACTGCAGCCGTCTTTATTATGAATACATGCCGGGACGAACAACATGACAGACAAATAACGTCGGCACATAAACATATCCAAAAATGGGTGTGCACATGAGGGGTTTTGCCACCGGCTTTGAAGGCTACTCCACCCGTCATTCCAGATGAAATTTAGCCAGGACGGGCCAAATTGCCCAAAACCCTAAACCACCAGACTATACCGTTCTAGAAAACAGTTTATGATGATCACAGTGACCAGACTACGAGTTAGTCACCGTCCACGGGTAGCTCCGGGAAGAAACGAAAAGCCAAGTTGCTATCTGGCGGCTGGCATCCTTTTCTCCAAGGCTCATTGTGTATTCCACCATGAACTCTAGGAACAACTTCATACCTATTGAGGAAAGGTTTTCCCGAGCTTCGTAGCTTAGTATTTCCGAGTGATTCCAAGTAAAGGATCATTCGTGTCCACAATAACATGGATGGCAAAAGAACACCCTCAAACGCATGAAGTCACTTCGATATTCCAGGGAACTCCTGCTCATGTGGGATGATAATCAGGAAGCCCCAAGCAGACATATATATGAATCAGGTTCTTGACTTTACTGGGGCTGACTCTTGATCTAACTTTGTTCACGCGGAAATGGTAGCCTCGTAGGATATGTCTGAGTCTCGTTGCTTAGGTAGTTATGTGTATAATCTCGGCCGGTTAGGGATCGCTTGACATATGTCCAGAGTTCAGCTTTCTTCTGCATACTGAAGGTTATCGTGAAAACTTTCTTTAAGTGTGAAAGAACAAGTGCAGTACTCTGTCCCCTGCTGTAAACTCCTAGGCTCTGACAGCATTATTGAGTTAGGGTTATGTCAAGTATGTCCAGTATCTTCAAATAATATCGAAGGTCACTTTTTCCCGTCGAATCAGCCCACCTTCAGTTCGATGCCCCCTCACTATGAAACGATCTTACCTCCATGATATTGACCAAAACAGATGGGTTGAGGGGCTGAAATGGGCCACACCCCAGCAATGGCACCGTGTAATCAAAGGCAATTCCATCGATCATAGCAAAATTCCAACCCCCTCAGAAAATAGACTTGCTCTCTTTGCTCTCAAAATACCCGCTGGTCTTGGCTCGAACAACTTTGAGACTCGTTTGTCGTTCGATAGACTTCTTCAAATTGCCGAAGCTAGCGAACGGCTACGCCTCATCGACATCACATGTTGTTCTCAATACCGAGGCCAGCAGTCATTTCAGCACATGAAAGGTTTAGGAGTCGTTATGAGAAGCTCTCACTCATTGTTCAAGAAGCATATAAAGTATATATCTTCACCATCAGCATCAGCATCAGCATCTTCTTCCGATTTGTATCATCAGTCCGTCTCCGCACATTCTACACCACTTGAGCTTTACTATCAAATAAACCAGGATCAAGAGATCATATCCGTCATCATGCAGTCAGCCATTATCGTTCTCAGCCTCGCTGTCTTGGCTGCTGGCGCTCCCAAATCTGTAAGCGAATCTTCAACTCTGTCTGCCTTAGTGGAGAGAGAGCCTTCTGGCATAGTTTCTTACTTTGCTTCCAAGGGTAATGGGGTTGTTGTCCGATCTCTTGATGACCTTGCTCATGTCGGCGACGGCGAAGTCGTGAGGGTAAGTCGTCCTATACACCGCAGAAAAAACGAGGTTCCCCTACTGATCGTTCAATTTACATATAGCTCAAGCGTGTCAAGCGTTGCGAGTTTGCTGCTGCTGCTCCTGAGAATGCAATTGTTAATAAGAGGGGTAACACCTCTACTGATTGTGAGGATGTCCCTACGTTTATTACCAACTGGTAATTCGTGGTACACAGTATGGACGAAACATCAAATTTGGATTGAAATATGGTATTTAGTTCATAGTCTGTAAGATTCAACATCTTGCTGACTTTCTTGATCAAATAAACTTTCGGTTTCCTCTAACAACTGATACGACTTTCCCCTGGAGCAGGGGAAGAATCAAGTCTGAAGTGGGGCCGGTCACTGATCTCTGCCACAGAAGCTGTAAATTTCAGATCAAGCGGCATCTACTCTTCTTTAATTGCCTCGGCTTGTTTCTCAAAAGCATGGTGTGAATGTTTCTGACTCAAGTCAGCCTCACTAAGCGTCTGCCCAAGTCAAACAGATATTACCAAAGAGCTACATAATTCGTAGTGTATGGAAACACCCCAGTCACCACCAGCTATGGACTCCTTTTACCGCATTCGCGTCTCGTAAATATAGCTTCTTTCAAAAGAAAAATAAAGCGATGAAGGAAATCAAGTGCGTAGTCTGGAGCAGGCTCCTGACGCGCAGGTGCTTGCTTTGATGCGAAAGGAGCAATCTTCTTCCGAATGGAATTCTCTGCTAGCGCGCAAATCCGTGGCCTGAAGTACCCTTTAAGCCATGGGATCGGTGGAGTAGAGGTTAAGAATATTATCCATGTACCAGCTAAAATAACGCAGCAGCAGGAAGGCGCGAGCAGCAGCGGCTGCGACGACCCGGCCTTCGGGCTTTCGCCGCGGCAGTCTTCCGTACAACTCCAGTAACTTTATGAGAGTACCCGCAGATCAGAGAAGAGAATGAATGACGTGGAGGATGTGAATTGGTCTCATGGAGTCTCAAATTTGTCTTTAACTTGGCACTGTTGACTTAAGTTATTTCAGCTTGGGCTCGTTGGAAGTGAAGCAATCGTAGTGTCTGACCTTACGGTAGGGTAAATTCAACCCCGCGGTAATGCGTCAAATGACAAGTACTGATGGTATAAAGCTACGGCATTCCATTCCGGGGGGAAGCTTTACATCGGGCGATGCCTTGCAATGCGAGACAGCTTGTTCTTTCTGTACTAGAGCGACTCTTTCTCATGTGGATGTATACTCTACCTTGCCCTCGTTGCTATCTTCGTCGCTATTATCGTCGTCGTCGTCGTCGCTACTATCGTCGTCTTCAATAGGAGTGGCCAAGTTCGTAGAAAATATGATCGTAGATACACGTAGACTAGGTGGTCTCTTCGGAAGATATGTTTCCCTGGGCGCAAGTCCATGCTGCAGCAGGAGCCGTAATATTTATCTCCCCTCGCCGGTGTTGCTCGGCTGGCCCTCAACAAGCATTCTCCTAACATATCGCGGAGCCTGTCAAGCTGATGTCTCCGTGCCTGCAAGCCCAGTGTAGGAGGTCGTGATCTAACACAATGAGACCTTACTAGCGAAGAGGTGCTGATTGGTATTGGACGAAGAGGGACTTGACGCAAGTGAGGTCCATAGCATCCCAGCCGGCGAGATTGTCGCAAACAAGGTTGATCGTCTCCCGCGGGGTTCGAAGTAGGCTGGGCATGAAAATGTTCAAGTGCTGCCTACCGTTGCCATCACTGTCGTACTTGTTGTTGCCGGTATCACTGCCGCTTCCCTTTTTCTTAGAAACCAAGACTCGTTTCTGCTCTTGTTACCTCCGCCTCTTAGGTGTTGGTATCAGCCCATGAAATCCCGACATGCGTATCATTGGGTACTTACGTACTTCAGTGGGGAGCACAGACCATTGATCAGGAATTATGAGCTAATTGATAAGTTTAAAGTATAGGCAAACCCCTTCTCCAAGCTTCTAGTACACTCCTGTCAGAACTAGGGATCCCCTCGCTTATATGAAACTCACCGCTTACAGTCATTACTCAGTTATCTACATACACAGGCCAGGATTGCCTTACAAGGGATATACGCCAATCGTTTATATAGATCTACTGCAGGACCAGCAG